TAATAAAGAAACATTGAAATTGACTGATAAATGATTATAAATTAGTTATGAAATTAATTATCTTTCAAATTTAGCCTGGTCCACCTGGATCAGCAGGTATAAGTGAAACGTACTGCCCATGCCCAGCTCGTCAAAATCGCTTTCGTGGAGCATTTTTTGCACCAGAAACACCTGTACAGCACCAGGTGCAACCTTCATTGCTGTACTCACCATCTATGGGATATAATGACAAACGATACGAATACATGCAAAAGCATTATGGACATGCATGAAGAGCCATAAATCAAAAATGGGTTACGATGGGTCACGTAAAGTATGAAGAATGAATACTGCCAAAATATTGCTGTGAACATTGCATTTTTATATATTCTTATTTGTCTTGTAAAATCTTTTAGTTTATTCCTTCGTTTTTCTGAAAAGTAATATTTTTTGGAAAATAAGATAATTAATGCAATGATATTTTTCAGTTTTTAACTTTAATCGTTGCAATAAAATTTGTTTTAATCACTTAATATTGCACTGCAAGACAACTTGACGATAGATTTTCTTTCTGAGAATACTTTTACTTCTTTTCATTCATTGTTCATTCAAACAGCTCTCTACTGTTGATAGCAAGAAAGCAGAAGATGAAAATAGTATGATCTCATTTTGACTGAACTTCCATCATTTTAAATAGTTTATATCACAAACGTGTAAACTAAAACTCATTGAATAGCAGTTAAAATGCTATAAATTGACGACTACAATTATTTCTCTTGAAAACTTTTCTGTTTTCAAAATTTCAAAAATATTATACCAGTTCTGATGCTTATCAGATCGTAAACAAGTGCAGTAATGTATGCAGAATTATTGCTTATAATTTAGCTTAGCATTATTATCTCGCGCACAACCTGTCCTTAGAAGTCAACAAAAGTTTACATATTACTGAACTGATTTATGCACATTTTGCCAGTATAATGAATACTTGATACCATCAAAACTTTTAAACGATAATTGTTTAATAGAAGCAGTTTGAAAACAAGCAGTCTTGTTATTAATATTAATTAAAAATTTGTTGATCACTCATTCATTCAACCCCCTCACGCAGCTTACTTTCTCTAATTAACCAGTTCTATACGCATATACATATATATAGATAAATAGATAGACCACTTCCAAATTATAGCATTCAAACTTGCCACTGTCGCATTTCGTTTATATTTTACTACTTATATGATTGCTTTCTTCGTGATAGTTTTTTAACCAATTCCGTGTGCAAAAATCCCTTCAGTTATGTTGAATAATTATTTTCCATAGAAGAAAAAACGTAGCAGAAATTCAAGCTCTCATTTACTTTATCCAGTACTAGCATCTTTAGTGTTTAATATATTTGATTCATTTTAAGCAAAATTATTTTTCAATTAAAAAGCATTACTTGCGCAGCAAGCACGTTTCATGTCAGATTTTGGAGAGAAAAACAGAAATCAAACTGAATTAAATTGCTACCACAATTCTTCTATATCTTATCTTCCAATAATAGTCATAAAATTTAGTCACGTTAATCAGTCGCAAGAATGACTCGAAAGCTATTACTTACTGCTGCCACAGTTGGCAGTATTTGTGCCATATTTATGTCATTAACTGTTGTTTTTGCAATCTTCCGAGACATCAACACTCTTTATGATGATGTTATGGTGGAAATGGACGAATTTAAGGTAATTTAGAAAAATTTCATTAAAGCAAACCAATAAACGACGCATTTTTATAAAAATATCCGGAAAAAAATATCGATTCTTTAGATGACTGCAGAAGATGCTTGGCGTGAACTTACATACGTGAATGCAAATTCAAAAGTACGGGCAGAGAACATGGTTGGCACACTCAGTTCACTATTTCGACCTAAAAGAAGCAATAACCAGTGCAGTAAGCAGCAGTTGTTTCTTTGGCATTTCTATAAAATTTGTTACAAGTATTTAAAAAATGATCTTCAGATTGTGGACAATCACCAAACAAATGCCCACAGGGACCACCCGGACCACGCGGCAAAGCTGGTGAAAAAGGTGCAGATGGAGAACCAGGACCAGACGGCGAGCCTGGAACACAAGGTGTTGCATTAGCAGTAACCTTTGATATCCCAGGCGGTTGTATCGAATGCCCACCAGGTAAACAAGGGCCTCCAGGACCACAGGGCCCAGAAGGTCCAGTTGGTCCTCAAGGTCCACCTGGCCCACCGGGCAAAAATGGTAAGCAGGGATCGCGTGGTCCACCTGGGCCTGATGGTGATGAAGGACCAGTTGGTCCAGAAGGTGTACCAGGAGAGCCCGGTCGAGATGGCAAGGACGGAAAACGTGGCACTGGTCCACGAGGAAAGAAAGGTCCAGCTGGGCAACGTGGTACTGAAGGTCCAAGAGGAGAGGACGGTAAGGATGGCGAACCCGGCGAGCAAGGTGAGCCTGGGCCTGATGGTCGGCCTGGTACGGATGGACGCGATGGTAAGAACGGAAATCCTGGATCGGTATGTCTTCCGAATTTTGCAAAGTTAACATTGTAATCTTTGATATTTCTCAAAAGTGACTGAAGAAAATAATTCGGATTTTTTTAGCCTGGTGTTCGTGGACTACCTGGAATGGATGCCGTCTACTGTCCATGTCCACCTCATGGTTCATCTTCTTCTCGAGCTCATGCTCCACCTGCCCCACTCCCATCCCAATCATCATCTACAGAACAGTCAAAAGCTGAGATGACAAAGGAGACAAAAGTTGAGATGACAAAGGAACAGGGAAGCAACGATGGTTACCAACATAAGAAGAAATTGAAAAAACAGTGATTTTGACTATTTAGAATTTGAACAATGTGCCCTTGCTACAAGGAAACAAAACCTCTATAATTTCTTCCATATTTGACACTGAAGAAAACATTCCAAGATAAGGCTCTAAATCCTGACAGCAAGCGTTCACAAAAACTTGAGAAATAAAGATATATTATGTTCTAAAGTAGATTTTCTAGCGAACTTCCAGTCTCCTCTTTGTAACAAACAGTAACTGCACGTACTACCCTTTCTAATACGAAAAATATTTTTAAATATGCAATAAAAAGGATTCTTCTTTATCAATTAATATGAAATTTTTACTGGAAGGAGTAATCGGTGCAGAAATCCGCACAAAACATTCAACTGATTCTCATGACAATTGAACAGATCATGAAAAAATATGAACAATATATACAAAGACTCACATCCATCTACATGTCATTCAAATCTTTGTTAGCAGCTCAGTTAGGCTGGACTTGCAAGTTTTTAAACAAAGACTGATTCTATGATATCTTTGAAAATAGAAAGAGCATAATTCTGCTTTTTATAAACCATCACATTGACTGACGGATGCATTGTCTGCTTCTTCTATATGTTGCAAGAGCGTTAATAAAAATTCCAACCTTTGTTTTAAATCATTGTACGGAATATCTGGTAATTCTAATTGCATTTTTGATAACGCTGCTCCTACATCAAGTTCATGTTCTCTATACACATACAAAATTTTCCTGTCTTGATCAACCGTCCATTCCCTATTTGAATTTGAAATAGCACGAAAAGTCTTTTCATATTCTATGGGATTTTGCAGAGAAGTCAGCTGATTACTTGAATTAACCGGAACTGCCACCTGCGTACAACAAGTCTTTTCCATATTATCTACCAAATTATCAGCTAAATTTTTTCTAACAGTTCCACCACAACCAATAACATTATCAGCAATTTTAGTCTCGTTTGTTCTATCAACTGTTGTGGTTCGTCTTTCCTTTGTTGGACATTTCCTTCGTCTTTTACTTGTTTCAAGTCTCAATAGTCTTGGACCGGTTCGCTTCCGAGTGAGCTGTGAGGACATTTCTGCTTGGGATGTAACACTCAAACCAGATGTTTTTAATCCTATCTTTGATTCCTCTTTACCCAGTTTTTTGCATTTGAACTTTTCAGCCTTTTTTGTTGTAGGACGACGGCGTATAGACGCACGTGGAGTGTTTTTTGTTGGCTTCCATTCCGCATTAACCTCATACAGTTTGCCTCTAAAATGAAGTATGAAACACCATTTATGATCACGATATAATTTATAATCATTCTTAAAACTAATTAAAGCTATTACATTTTAACTTTTTGCATGTAAAATTGATGAAAAGTATTAAAAAAATACATTGTGTTAAAAAATTACTTTCTTTCAGTATAAAGACTTCTTAAGTAGCCTATGAAAATTCCAGAACGTAGTTTTTCCGTCTCAGGACCAATGGCTGCTGTAAGATCGACAATTTCAAAGGGTGCATCCATTTTTTTCCAATTATCCAAATCAACATAATCGAAATCTGCTACAGCATGGCTTAAATAATATTTATCTCAACATGATAAGACATTGTTTCAAAACTTGTGATCACCAATTGCGCATTATCGACCTAAGAAAATGGAGAAAACAAGTTTATGATCAGCAAGCAAATAAATTAATATAGCACTGATTGAATTTTTTATGAATATAAAATAAGTGTCATAATCATATCTGTCCATTACTTAAACAGCATGATAATGTTATTAGTTTCTCCACACAATTTATCGCAATTTTATCAGTTCAAAAAGAATCGAATTACATTGCTTCATAAGTTCGAGTAGGTATATTTTGTGAAATGACATCCCATAACGGACTTTTACTACCAATAGTTTCAGATAAACGACTTTCAAAAGTCTCACATGTGCAATGAAAACCTGAAAATTGAAAGGGATTAAATTATACTTGAGTACACTATGGGCCAGAATGATGAGAAATAAATTGAAAGACTGCCTTACCGATCTCTCTCAAATTGCGAAATATAGAACGGGCAGATAATCTCGAGCTCACAAATGACATAAATGCCTGTAAAAAAATTTACATAATAAAGAGAAAAGAAAAGTTTCATATCTGGCTCTAGTTATGAGAGTTTAGAAATGACAAAAAATTAATAGTTTTATAATAGTTATGAAAGTTTTTTCTTCGTAGAACTTGAAAGTTTTCAAAGTTTATACTTCTTTTTATGCAGCCCAAACAAAATAAATCTTTCAGTTTAACAAAAGAGCATTTTTTTAAAAATTCCCCCAGCTGTACAAAAAAATAACCTCAATATTATAAATCATCTCTAACGCAATACCATATGCTTTGCGAATAGGATTTTCTAATATACTCTTTGGTAATAGATCTTGTGGAAACACAAATGAAAGAAGAAAGTACAATGGCTCATGTTCGTTCTCTAAAATATTGTGCATACTTTCGAACATCTGAAATTTGAAGATTGTAAGTATAGAAAAAAAAATACTCTGAACGGAATTTCAATCAGTAATACATGATATAAATACATTAAAAAGCACTCACTTCGGAAGGCTTCGAATTTCCGGTGATTAGTTGGTAAATAGCTCGCACTTTATCTTGATGCATGAACATACGTTGTTTGAAATCATCAAAAATGACCTGTGCCATGCATTTCTCTTGAAGTGCTCGATGCTCAGCGTTTAATATTCCATACAATCCATCGCGTAAACGTTGCTTACGAGAATGCATCCGTTTTCGTTTTTTATCTGCTTTTACTGAACCACTATCTTCTCCATCACTACCATCACCCTTAAGATGTATGAAAAGATAAAATATAACTAGATCACACAAGCAATTAAAAGTAGTGTGATCCAAACATAATTTGCTCTTCTTTGTTTCCTTCATTTTCAATTAAGCAAGCTGCTTCTCTGCTTGAGAGAAGTGAATATTTTTGTAAGTTCTACTGGAAAGATCATTTCACTATGAGTCTCACTAGATCATTCTAATGCAAAACAAACCTCTTGACCGACAGACAATTTCTCATCAGATGTACTAGGCAACTGCTGTGATTGCTGTTGATCTTGACCAGTTTCATTGCCCTCATTTGTGATATCTGATACTGTTTGTTCATTTTGTTCTTGTTTTGTTTCTCTGACTTTTTCATTATTTGCTACAGAATCAAATTCCCTACAGCGTGCATTTCGTACTGACGTCTCTACATCAAGTTGCTCATTCTCAGTTATTTTGCTTTTTTCAACAATTTGACTGATTTTCATAGATTCAGAGTTGCACTCCACATCCGCCAAATCACACTGGATTTCTTTGTCTTCCATATTTGATTTAATTAAGTCACTGAAGTGTTCCGAAATTGTTGACATCCATCTGAAAATTTTTTGACTGCACTTACAAATGATATAAAAACTTATTTTAAAAATGAAACTAAGAAATTCTACAGAAGTGTGTTTTATGAAGTAGTTGACTTTTTAAATTACCTTACTGAATCGAAAGAATCTGGATCTCCAGTCGGATTTTTGGGGACAAGACTATCTGAAAAACCAGTATTAAAAAGGTGAACTTTGATTCTTTTTCACTAAACTTTTAGGGAAAAGTAATTATAAACTGAAAACAACTTTCTGATTGCATATCAACCGACCATCATGACAAATCGGAAAGGAGGACTCTGTAACACCAAAATAAGAATCTTCATTCAAATATGATGAGTTGTGTGATATAAGGTTTATTTCCTGGTTTTCAGAAGTTTGCTGACTATGAATCCAACAACATTCTGAAACAAAAGAAAACGCCGAATCTTCATGATTTCTTTAATTTCATCAACAAAGAATGTTTACAAAAGAAGAAATTGCGTATATTTCAATCAAGAGAACATTAATTTTTTTTCCGCAGAAAAAAACTTATGCCATGATTTCTTATTTAGTGATTCAATAGTCCATTAAAATATGACAAGAGGTAAAGGAAAGAACTTACGCACTTTCAAAAACTAAAATTCTTGATTTTTGATCGCTATCATAACAAAACTTGAATAATCATAACTGAAGTTACCTAAATCAGATACGTCTTTATCGCTACACTCTTCTTTTCTTAATCCTTGAAACGACAGCCACGAACTCTCTGTACTCATAGCAAAATCTGTTTCAGATTTTTCTTTACCAGTTACACTTGATGTCGTGTTATAATCACTTCTATCAACTATTTCTACTTTATTTTCACTGAAGTTAGTACTTTCATCTGAGTGATATACTGGTGATTCCTTAGTGCGGTAGACTTTCTTGAATGGCGCGAACCTCACCGGCTTAATTAATGTAGTTTTCGTTAACTCTGCTGATTCTGGAAGAATTAAATTAAAATCACACAACAAATAGCAAAAGTTGAAAATTTCGCTTATTAAAAGTCTGTAACATATTAATTTAAAGCTCCAGAAGAAAGTAATGCAAACATATCTCAAGGAAAATTCAAGAATGAGGAAAGTTCGTTTCATTTTAGTCCTGATTCACGTCATGAAAAACTTTTGACTAACCTGAAGCAAAAAATAATGATCCCTCATTCACGGATATAACTTCCTTTTGACTCAAATCTAGAGGTTCTTCATATGTAGGTGACATAAACTGTTTCGCGGATATAACTTTTTTTTGACTCAAATCTAGCGGTTCTTCATATCCAGGTGACATAAACCGTGAGTGACTTGGGTTTAACGGCAATTTTTGCGTGTCTGGGATTTAAGTTATTGGATCCGACTTTAAAAGTAGTACATCTATTTTATACACAATAAACGAGTTGATACTGATAAGTATGAATGAAAAATAATAACTTCTATGTGTCATGGAAAAAAACATACACAAGCCCATAGAACTGAAAAAAATCTCATACCACTATTGCTAAGAGTGCTCATCCCATTCACCACATTTTTATCAACTAAAATAGCTTCAGATGAGATAATATCTGCTCTTGAAACAACTTCGGTGGTCGTAAGTCTGTGAAATAGATCATTTCTTGCATTTGTAGCATCATATTCAGTAAAAGATGTAGCATAATCATGGTTTAGAACTAAGGGATCCTGAAGAAAGAAACCAGTATGAGATTAGATAATTTTGAAAAAAAAATCACACGGACTTTTGTTTTTAATAGTCACACGCACTTGTAATACTTGTTAAGTAAAACTGTTCTAACTGGAAAAAACATCTTTATATATGTAAAGAATTCTATCATAAACAAAAATCAAATCTCAACATACACTACTCAACGAACACGAAGTATATGCACAGCACACATGAAATATGAACTTTATTTTACTTTTGATACAGAATCTTTTTCATCAGCAATGCTTGCAATATCAATACGATCTATTCCAAAACTCTCGCATTTGAGACCATACTGCTGCTTCTCAATAAGTTTCTAAAAACAAATTTCATTATTGCTTAGTCATCTAATTAAAGTGTGCACTGAAGTCGTCAACCAATACTTGTTTACAACGATGCGATAAATTAACTTTTTATTATACCTGAAGCCATTTTGGTTGGAAATGATACGACCATGAGTAGGGTGGGCCAAAAACTGCTGTCGACCTGTTTTCCAGAGGAAAAACCATGTTTACCATCTCTTTTTGAGCTTTCTGTAAAATCTAAGCAGCTCAACACAAATTAGTAAATACGTTTATAACACCATTTATGTACATGAAAAAATCTATTTCTCCTCGAACGATATTATTTATATAGAACGTTGAAATCATAAAACATAAAGGAATATTCTTACATCAAAAAGTGTATGTATGAATTCTTTACTGTTTCGAAAATTTTTTAGATGCAGTCGGATTTGTGACTGCATTTTGTTGGGCAGTAGATGCTTTCTGATAAGTGAATAACGACTACGTAATCCACCATGCTTCTGCATATGCCCGAACTGATATAAACCAAGTGCTAGAAGACCATCTTCCTCCCGAGTAAAATATGGATGAAATGAAGGAAAAACCTTCATGCGAACCTAAATGTAATCTACTTTTTATGAAAAATTGTCCATTTGTGTGCAAAATAACACATACAAATAAACAATGCTATACCTGAGGAAGAAGTTCTGGATATAACATTGCTCTACTTCGAGACAGAACAAACATTGTTTCTGGCAACGGAAATTCCACTAAAACTCATTCTTGGCAAAATTTCATAAAAAAAATATATAAGTCAAGTTTTGTATAAGTGCTTTCAAAAAACTATTTAATATCTTTTAATATCTTGTTTCTAATTAAAAAACAAACTTACTTTTTCCACGTTTTTCGCATGCAGATCGAAAATCATCAATAGATTCACAATTAATGGCATCATGACATGTAGATATACAAGATTCCAAATTTCTAATATTGAATAATGAATGTTCTGGACGTTTAAGACAACAATTATTTAATTCATTCTGAATAAATAAGAGATTACAAAATAAGAATGTAATCAGAATAAACTGAATAAAAGCTTATAAAAAAGTAAATAAATCTTTCCGCTTAAAAGCACTCTAGAAAAAAACTGAACTCCAAATTGTCCACAGCCTTAAGAGTACTGTAACATTTCTTTCAATTCCTAAAAAAAAGTCTTCCAAGACACTCTCTATGATAAATCTAAGGACCTGAAACCTACAATCATTGCTTGAAATGCATTATACATTGTGATCATTGGTTTCTCGAAATAACAACTCACTGCAAATTGAGTCAGCAACTGTACATGCTGAAACTTAAAAACCAGATTAAATGTGAGGCGTGTGAAATAATTTAAGAAAATAGTAAAGTAATAACCAAAACAGCATTCTTCTAAACAATTCACCAGAGTTTTAAAAATGTTGAGCAACAATATTAAAAATTAAGAAAGAAGGGTCAAAGTAATTGAGAAAAGATTTAAAAAAACGATATAAAGGATATTTTGGTAAAGTTACCTAATTTATATAAAACACTAAAATTAAGCAGTAATTGCTAACTAGAGTATGTGACCAACGGATGATACTGCAAAACTTGCATATCTATGATGCATAAAAAATTACAAAGCATGAGAAAAATGAAATAATAACTGAACCAACCTTTTCCAGCTGTGCAATAAGCTGCTCGAGTTCACATAAAGAAAATCTAGGAGGATTTTCAAGACTGGCATGCAAAAGAGACGAAGAAGAAGTGGAAATATTCCGTAAATCTTCCAGGGTTGCATTAACAAGAACTGTTAATGGCTGCATCGTCTCTGACGGACAAGCTTCTTGAGAAATTTGTTCTGTTTTCTTTGCATTTAATTTATGTTCGTTTCGCACAACTAAGCTAGAGGAATTATTCTCATCCTGAAGGCGAGAATCTTTTAATTTTTCGGTTGACAACAAAAACTCAGCAAATAACGAGAAATCCAGCCAACTCGAGACATTTTCGAATCTACCAATTTAAATTTAATGTTTCAGATCAAAAAACTTGTTGAAAAATCAATAAACTAGAAAAACTATTTCGGTTTCTGATTTTCTAGGGCGCACTAAAATTGCTCACCTGAAATTAAATGCAGGTGATTTTCTTTGAGGTTTTTAAAGGAATAAAATAAAATAACCTTAACAGATTGGAAAGTCTGTTCCAGATGTTCAGGTGAAGGCAATAAACGAGCTTCAATCAAATCTTGCAACAAATTTTCCACTTCTCGCACTGCAAGCAGTAACCATTAACACAATAGGATAATACGTCATCATTAATAAATAATTCAAATATACTCACAGGGTATTTCGATGGCACGATTTTTTAGCAACTCCTTCTCCTCAGCTGTATCTTCGATCTCCACATCCGAAAGAAAATTATACTCTGAATCTTCATATTCTGCAAAGTGTATACTCAAACAATGCTCCTACAGTACACTATGAGTAATTTTTCATATCTATTTTGTGAAACAAAAAAAGCAGGGAATTATGCGAAGTACCATCCACTGCATATTTTGAAGGATCGTTTAAATTTGAAATGAATTCCACATATTCCGGGTCATCAACTGCAGTGTATAATAAAACATCATCTCCAAAATCTGGAATTTCATCTGAAGACGCAATCTGTTGTTTTGAACGTGTATGAAATGCAGGTGTGACAATATGATCGTTAATTGGAACCTGAAGAAAATTTTATTTCTTCTTTGACTGCGTGATGAAAAAAATTATTCTTTGTCGGGATTACACAAGATATAGAATTTAGAGCACACCTCAATCTCATTAGCATCAATTTTCAACGACGCTTGTGGGGAATCAATTTTATAATTTGTTTCATTGTCACTAACGTCTTTGTCCTGAAATACATTTTTTTCTGCATATACAAATATATGTGAGCCTGATTTTTATTTAGGAATGAAATTAAAAAAAAGAAAATAGAAAGACCTGTTCAGGGATATAATCATCGTCATCATCCTCATTAGAATAATCAATATCAAGAAAAGTTCGTGATGTGCGTGCCACAATATTTACTTCTTTTTTACCGTTAAGCTATAAAACACTCATTAAAAAGTTTAAAAAAATTACTCGGTATCACTAGAATTAATATTTTTGCTACCAAGAATTGTTGAGATAAGAACTAGATTATAAAATATAGTTTGTGACATACCGTTCCTTGGTCAGATGAAAGCTTTTTTGATCTTGTAAACTTCATATCTGTATCTGTAACTGCCGAGCTTCTATCCAATCCCATGACAATAGGTATGACTTCAGGATTTTTTATGATACGCTAGAAACAAATAAAATGACTTAATAAAAAAAATCGTGAAAATCTAATGTCAAGTATACTTTATTTCTCAAATAACAAATTATTTTCCACCAAAGTCGAATCGTGAAGTCAGAACAAACAACTTACATGCAATATCGACTTCACATTGAGAGATGTGAGATTAAATGATTCGGCTTTCCCTTCCAATTTTTCGTCTATTTGCTTCCACATTTTAATGATTTCTTCTCTTTCTTCGGTGTTGTCCATATGTTTATTTCCCTGAGAACCAGCTTTAGTGCAGGTATATATAGAATCCATAGGCTGAAATAAAAAGTATTAATCATCGAACCAGAAGGACTACTAAATCCATGACTATAATTTTCTTTCTTGTTTCAATAAGCATGTTGAATGCCCTCATGTAAAACAAAAATTACAGTATGCATGGTATTCAATACTACTTTTCTGTGTACTGACGTCTCATAATAACATTTGAATTTACATTTTCCGAATAATACACTAAAAGGAAAAATAGACGCTAGGAAAGTTATTAAAAGAAGTATTGCGTAAAATAGTCATGAAATTCGAATTAACAAGTACTGCACCTCTTACACATCCACTATCCGATATCCTAGTGCATTTATCAAATTTAGATTCGAATGATTTAAACCTGCAATGAAATAAGATGAATCCTGCCTTCTTCAATGTAGTATAATAATATGTGTGTAATATCGCATAAGAATACTAATATCACATAGAAGTGCAATCATGATAACGTAACTTCAACACGATAAGGAATTTCGAGAATTCAGTAATAAAATTAATTATAATACGCGGAATCTAGAATTACTAACGACAAAATTTGTTGATGAACAGACTGATTGATTGTAAACCCCTTAAAACTTTGCTTGCCTAAAAAAAACGTAAGAAACGAAACTTCAAGATCGACTCTTAATCTTATAAAAGTAACAGCCATGTTAAGATTTTAAAAACATAGAAAAATAATAAATAACAAAAACGATATTAAACTGCTTTAACATCTATATCTGTCTTTACAGAAACTCTATTACTTCGACACTAAAATTTATCAGACCAAAAATATGCATTGAAAATAGTGAAAATGAGCGAAAAATAAAACAAATCGCAAAAAGAGCAATAAATCTTGTCATGGACTGTCTTATCTACGACATATACTAAATAGCAAAAAACTACAAACCTAACTTGCATAAAACCTACTTGGTGACAGAAAACTTCCATGGGCATACTACAATTATAGCTGAAAGTCCTGAAAATAACAGAAAAGAAGAGATAATTACTGCAGAAAGCAAACAACAAACGTAATTTCGGGAATACTTGAATTCAATTCCCAAAATTATCTGCTTAATGTCTTAATCTAGACGAGAAAAAACAAATAATAAATTAATGAAAGAAGCAACATTTATTAGAGTGCATTTATATCACAAAAGATGATTCAAGATTTAAGATGTCAGTATCACCACACCATTATTATCTGACCGAACCCTAAGGAACATATTTAACGGCAAATAAGGAACAAAATGAAATAATTGAAAGCGATTTTCTTCTTGAAAGTAGTGGAAGATATAATCTATTAAACAACTCATTTAATTTAACAATTTAGAAAAATTTTTAAATCGCAAAAAATGTTGTAAAATCAATTCTGTTCCCAGGAAATTTAATAACATGTGTTCACAAAAACTCTATGTCTGAAATTAATAATTCTAATTACAAAAAAGTATGAGATTGAGAAAGATGAACAAGAATAAAAATAATATTTGTATTAAGCAACCAATGAAAAAATAACTTTTCATTGGAATCTTTTAAGCCAGCAAAATAATAAAAGGTCACCAAATATGAAAGAACTAACGAACACAAATGCAAATAGCAATAAAACATAAATTTAACAGTTTTTGTAGAGATGTCTATTAGTTAAAAGAATTGAAAGTACGAGAGTATTTAAGAACGAACATTCATCAAAAACCTAATAAACCCTGAAAAGCAACATTTCCTCTAAATTCAAACGAAAAATAAGATTTTTCATTCAGAGTCTGAAATTGATTTGCATTCAGCTGTAATGCGTCCTTCATACACCGGTAATACTGTTGAATCCTCGTTTACGAGAAGAAGCTGATAAGGTGAATTACCATCCTCACATGCGGTCTTAAAATAAAACCTGAAAATGAGCATAAATTATGAAACGTTAGAATGAAAAATAAGAAGGAAAAAAAAGAAATGTGAACGAACGATACTACTATATACACGGTCTTTCATCAAAGACAGAATAACAGAAATTTTGTGCGAAAATTTCGTACAATTTTAATAGTTTTCCAGCTAATATCCATATAGCATAGCATGTAAACAAATGAAATCATTCACGAATCAATGAAAAACTAACTGCAAATTTGATTTCGATGAAATTCCCAAGTATTTACGAAACTCTCGGAATGTGATTGGATGAAATGGCACATGTGCAACCATTGGAACGCGTCCTTTTTCTTTATAGCTAATTCTCATCAGCTGCTTTGGATCCCCTCGCGAACGCCTAAATGATTGATATACGTCTATTTTTGAAGATAAAATGCTATGAAATTAAGCAATCGATAAAGTACCACAAGAACGCAAAAAGGACACGAAATGAAGTGTAACAACAAGATTAATACTTATTAAGATCAAACAACAGTGAAATTTTTCATACTGTGAGTAACTAACGGTAATGAACTGAAATCGTGATGCTGCTTATGACTGTTTTTACGACCAGAACTACTACTACCAGATCCACCATTATATGACAGCATTCGCGCTTTTTGGAAAATGGCTGCACGTGCTGCTTCATCACGCTCACTGATAGACGATGGTGCCATGGACTCGATGCCAGAAGTGTCATATATCGCCATAGACTTCATGTCACATCTAAAACTTCATGAAACATCAAAAAGATATATTCACTTAAATAGCAAAAATCAAGGGAATTGGTTGAATGTATTCATTAAGCAAAAACTATCGTCATACAACTTGTAGAAAAGTCTTTAAATGATATTTTTAAAACGACTTGCAAATTCATAGGACCAGTTTTTAGCACAAATATATTACCAAATTATTAAATAACTACAATTATTTTAATCCTAAAACTTGCCGAATTCCTTTCATGGTGGGAGGATTTACATTTACCATTCGATGATGTCCGCTGATCGGAGGAGGAGCGAAGCCATTTGTACTATAGGGGTTAGGTGCATGAAAAATGTTAGCTGGAGGTGAAGCCAAGTTTTGTCGAAAACGCTCCGGGGAACTTGATCCTAAGTTAGAAATGCAGAAAAAATAACACTATTATGATACAGTCACCAGGAATTGCTTATATATGTGAAGAATACCTAACCTGATCTTTTTATTACTTGAATAATCTAACCTATATACCAGAAAAAATTGATGTATAGTTTACTAGGTGAACGACGACGAAAACGGAGTGAGTGTGCATTAAGTGGATCTGGCGAGTGATATGATGGTGATGGTTTGTTTGAATCATCCGCCATCCTTTGCCGTACGTACCGTTCTAGTTCATCATCTTCTTCAGCAGCTGTAGGTTCGACATCATTTACAACTTCGCGAGCGGAGCATTTTCGACTCTGCAATGGATATTTGCAAATAGTTTTTTCGAGAACTGTCTTTTTTATTCACAAAGGATGAGAAAAAACAGAACTATTTTTGAATTAATACTTCTAGATTTTAAATAAACTATGACATACCTCAATCGCACGTAGCTGCTGACTCATAACATCATTTCTTTTTCTACGAGCACTTAAAACATTCAGTTTCTCTATTAGAATTGCTGCAAAAGCTCGTCGACCTTCTTCAGTACAGTGAGTGACCACCGACCCTCCATCAACTCTTTCTACCCTCTGCAGTATTCATGTTTACATTCTCTCACTAAAACAATACGATACTAAAACAGTCGCCAATTTCATTGCATCTGGTGAGTATTGTAACACCCACTTATTAAGTTAATTACTGAAATTAAATTATCAAGAATTTACTACTTTCATCCCAACGAAAGATAAGATCAAATTATACTTCAAGATACCGCTAATGTATGTGTAGCAGGATTTCCTTTTAGCTGCTCCTCTCGAATCGTGCTTAGTTTTACACTTGGATGCTGACCATTTGCATCACTTGAAAAGGTGGATGATACAGCAGAATCATTCTTACTAGTTGTTGCATTACAAATATATGGCACTTTCATCAGTGGCCGGTACAGCTTTTCCACTTCACTGAAATAAATATTCAAATTAAACAAACTGTAAGTTTACAATAAAAGCATAACGAAGGATAAGGGGGATTTATAGCATGCTTTATTAGATATCAACAAATGAAATCCAGACTTTCAAAATCTACCTTTCACCTAATGTTGTTTCACGTTCATGCTGTGTTTTCAACAGCATTTCAGCTGTGAGAGTCGGTTGACAAGAAAATGACTTTCGCTGCTTACGACTTGATAACGATGATGAGAATATTCGTGACGGTTTGGAAGTGAACTCTTCCACACGATTGTAAAAATCAATAAATTCTTCTGAGCAAACAAACTGAGCGTGTTGCTGTCGCAAATACTGCTCCACCAATGGGATTACAGAATCGAAAACTGTTGGATCTGGTTCACAAGCAGAAAGAGCATGTACTCGAAAGCTTATTTCTCGTCGAAGATCCTATAACCAAAAAACATGAACAAATCTCATGTATTCAACAAATAAATTTAAAAAATATTCGAGAATGATAGTTTTCATTAAAAGATGTAAAATAAAGAATGAATTTTTAACAATATTTTTTGAGCACAGCAAATTTTATCATTTGTTAGAACATTATTTTGAAAAAAAAAAAACTATTCCACGCTAAATAATTTACCTCGCGTAAAAACGAACAAACACCGGTTTTAATACTAATGTACTTTTGATGCAAATTGCGTGCAAGTTCAGCAGCACGAGCATTTCTCACTGCACACATATTCCTGAAACATCCCACATTACGCGTAGGATTCAATAATATTTAAAATGTAAGATCTGATTGCAAAGATTTTTTTAGTTTTATAAGTTTCATGCACTTAGTTTACTTATTATTATAGATTTTTTGTAATATTATATATATTATGACTTTATTTTTCATTTTACAAATTATCACAAATAATTATCAGTTCATTAATACGATAAATAGAATGAATCAAAATAATAGCATGAATGTTAAATATGTAATATTACAAAAAATCTATTGTAATAAGTAAAATAAGTGCATAAAACTTGTAAAACTAAAAAAATCTTTGCAATCAGATCTCATATTTCACATACAAAAATGAAAATGAAAAAAATTATTTTGCATTTTTCTATTTTTGTTAAAAAAAGTTGAGAAAAAAATTTTTATATAATAATTATTTTTTTCAGCTTTAAGCAAAGAATTATAAAATTACTTGTATGCAATAATTGCAAAATGCAAATTAATTGGATGTTCAGCAAGTGATGATTCGTTCTTCATCCATTTCTTAAATGCTTCTAAAGCATCACGATCTTCTAGCACATTTTCCAATTTCTGTGACCATCGATGTCTTTCTTCTGTGCGTGCCATTGAATTACGTAAATAAAAATTCTATAATATTATACACGTTTTAATTTTATTACCACTCTACTTTCATACGTTTATAATTAATTATTGAAGGAAACGTATAATCAAAAGTAATAACAAATTAATTAGCATATACTTATTCAACTAGTAAGTAACTAACTCCCAACAAACCGATCGAAACAGAGAAAACTTTTATCTATGGCAAAGCTTTGCTTTAAAATTTTTTTCTCATATGTGATGATTGCTCTTCTGCAAGAGAGAAATACTTTTAGCGCCAGTTTAAATCATAGAAACTTTCTGTTTTCATTTCATAAATATCATATGCTTTCTAAGCATGAAATCATCTTACTTAATATGTATTAAAAACTACAAAATTAACTGGTATAATATTGATTTCAAATTCAAAATACCGAAATGTATGCTATGAATTTGCTATGATAAGTGTGCAATATTTAATGAAGCTTATAAAATTCATTAATTTAATATTTAATTGGAATTTAAAAGATGGATTATAATTAATTGCATTTTCATAAAGCATTACAGGAAAATGATAAATGTGAAACATAATGATGCTGTTTTTTAGATGATTTGATCAATTAACAGTGGCATTTAGATTATTTGAAATGATTTACTTGAAAAAATTCAAATTTACATTGGTTAGTGAGGATTTAATTCGCTTATTAATAACTTAACAATCAAAAAATCGTTTTTGTAGTACAAATGCTTTACTAATAATTAACCAAATTTTTTTTTGAATTAATATTTTAGCTTTCGATGGTAAAATAATTGTTAATTGATGGTTATTTAATTCCTTTTAATAATTATTTATTAAATTTTCTGCAACTTTAATAACTTTTCATACTGAAACAAGTAATTTTTTATTTTCTTTCAGAGGGAAAAAGACAATTTCTTAATAATTACTAAATGTATTTACTAAGTAATGCCAAAATGATCTACAATATTTGGTAGATTTAATTTTGGAAATATATTTAAATTTATTCAGTCAAAAAAAAGCAAAAATGCAAATAATCTTAATGAGTGAACAAAATAAAATAAATAATTCAATTAAGTAAACGTTAAAAAAATTCGCCAATATACAAACAATTTTTCTTCGTGTAATTTTGGTTCATTCTCGACCTTCAAATATTACAATTCAGCACAAATCATTTTTCATTCCTTTTGTAAAAATTGTGAAAGCGTACAGTTTTCCTATTTTATTTTTTATTATTGCAAAAAATCAAAAAATAAAAAGAATTCAAATTAAAAACAATTATTACAGAATAATTATGGAATATAACTAATAACATTTTTGTGTACTGTGACATTGAGCAGATTCAGATTCATGCATTTATTAATATTTGATATTCACAGTCATCTTAATAATTTGTTTTGCAAATAAATACTCAAACCAATTCAATTTTAAAATAAAAATACAAGTACAATTACGAATTATTTGCGAGAAGCGCAATATTTTTCCACATATCTTTTTTACATTGCAAAAACTTTTTTTATTTGAATATTTATTTAAAAAATATAGTAACTTGCATAGTTAGTAATGACAGTGATAATAGTGATGATAGTAAGGACTGATAAACTTGTGTTGTGATTTAATCACTATTAACGCATACAAAGGCAAAATGTTAGATATGCAAATTATGATTTCATGATGGTTCTTCACCATTTCCACGATTAGAAGCAAAATTTTGAGTATTCAAAGTGAGTAATTTACAGGCTTCGTCCCAATCATTCCAGTAGCATTCACGCATACGTTTAAGAAATTCTACCAAATTTGGAGTATTTTTTTCCATATATTTTTGTAAACAATTACTTATCATTGGAGCATAATATATTTGAGCCAAATGACCAAAAGCTGTCGCATCTAACTGAAATTTTTTTACTTTTCATTCAAATTTAACATTTTAACTTTCCAAACGAAAAAAAATTTATTTAAAATTTGAATAAAAATATTTATTTATTTATTTAAAACTAATTAATTAATGCACGTTTATTAGAAGCAATTATTACAATGATTTTACTCGTGAATTTTGTAGACTAAAATGGCGTAGCAAAATATGTACTTGATCTAAATGACTTACACAAATTAAAAATATTATTAATTTTTGTTATGTTAACATTAAAAAACAAAATTACAGTTGTAGGTGTTGAACCGAAAAAAAATTTTTTGTCATCTAGAAAAACCGATAACGCTGTCAGGTCTTTTTTTGCTATTTGTTCAACTTCATCAGTGCTATGCCTTCCAATGCCTTGCGCATAACATACTTTCCAAATCTGTACAAAAATATTTGTACAAAATGATAACACTCATTACAATAATCATAAACCAAATTTGATTTGATCACATATGATAACATTATGATAAAAATAATTGTATAAAGTGTTGAAATGAAGAATGTTAGTAAACAATTTATGCATTTTTTAATCAAAATTTTAGTGATATGCAAATTTTTACTTAACAAGTTACTTTTACTTATTACTTAAAATACTTTAACTGTTTAATGAACGAACCTTTTTTCTGAACTGCTCCACGAAGATGTACTGAAAAAGAGCTTTTTTAGCACCTCTAAAATGTTTAATAAAGCCTTCTTCTCTTGCCATGAATTTGTTATTTTTCCCACGATTATGCACTATAATCCTGTAATAAAAACTGTGAATAAAATAAACTGTCATTGGAAAAAATATCGTAAAATTTAAATAAATTAATGCAAATAATATAAATTCCTTCTCTTTCACTCAGACATTTTTAATTTGCATTACTGTGAAGCTCTTTTGCACTGCTTTATTCATAGTAATACAATGTGGAAAAAACAAAAAATTTTCATAAAAATATTATTCTTGCAAATTATCAAAATTTTTGGAATTTTTATTACTTTTACTGAAACTTTTCATTGCCTCGTCAATTTTACTAATTTTTTTTTATTTTTTATTTTTTTGCTAAAAATTACACTTTTTTTACCAAAATTTATGCGCTAAAAAAAGCAAAAAAGTGTAATTAACAAGTAGTTTTCAAAAAAAATAAAAAAAAAAACTTGTTGAATATTTTACATCAAAGTAATATCTCATATTATTGAGCATTTTGAATAATAATTATTGTGAATAAATATTGCAAAAAAGCATAAATATATTAAATAAACAACTTCTATGCTAAATCGTAAAAAAATACATTATTTTTGGTAATAAAATAAAATAATTCTTTTATAATAGTAATCTTTTATTGTATTGATAAAAGTTAGAATAAACTACTTATTTTTAAATTAAATTCAACCATTTTCGAAGAATACTAGAATTTAATTTAAAAAAATACTAAATTTTCAAAATAATTTTTATTGCTAATTTTTTTTTAATTCAAAAATTTTCGATAATTTTTGTTTTTTATTTAAAAATTTGAAAATTACCATCGAATAGACTCCTCTAATAGATATGAAAAAGCTCGAGCATGTGCTTTTTCCATAGCATTCAATCGTTCATCCATATCAATCTGTTGAAAAATTTTGAAGTTTTATTTTAAAAAATAAATATAATCTATACATGGATAAATTTGAAACTAAATGTTTTTGCTTTTTAATACAAAAGATAAAATAATTTCAAACAATTGCTTGCTTCAGTGCAGCCAATTTTATTACACTGAGTATTCTACAGTTTGATTTATGCAAATTTCAGTAGTACAGAAGGATCGTACTTTAAAAACTTGAGTGAGATGATCGATGCAGAAGTTACTGTCAGGTATCTGTCGCCCATTGAGTTCAATGAATGGAATTTGCTTTTTGTAAGAAAACTTGGTAAAATCATTGCTAATATTCTGCAAAATGTTCATGCATTGCGTACTTTAATGAATTTGAAATATGCAATTTTTTGAAAAAGAAAGTCATTCTTGAAAATACAATTGTCATTTTTTACAAAGATAATTGAATAAATTATGTTTTGTGATACAAAAATCTTTTCACATTGGTGTCAAAGTGCAAATAAGGCATGAAATTTGCCAAATGTTTTTTGATTTTAAAGTAAAAAAGAAAAAAAATATTCACCAAAAAATATGCAAGTAGTGAACGAATTAGAAAAGAGTACTGCTGTAGTACTTTGGATTTAAGAATGCTCAAAAATTCCTTCAGTTAAAAAAATAAAAGTTACTATTCTAAGAATTACAATATTAGCTGTCAATTTAGTTGTTTGAATAAATTTTATTAATAATATTGCGAAAAATTTAAATAAATAAAAAAGAATTTAACAAATTATATTTGCAAAATATTTGATAATTCATTTTAATGTGATGTGTAAAGTGTGAAATAATTTGTCAAGAAAGCAGTTGGATGGTATGATTATAAATATGCAAAAATTATAGACGAAAAGTTATTAATAGACTTTTTCTTTCAAATGACAAAAAATATAAACAGTAACGCTTTTAATTATGCAAATAAAATTTGAAATTAAATTTTTTTTTTCAAAAATTATTATCAAAAAGTAGTAGTCAAAATTGTTATTTTTGCTTGTTGTAACGGACTGAAAGTAAGCATACTTTGAGTTATTTGGTTAAAAATAAGATTTATTATGATTAATGATGAAGAGAGACATATTTGTTCGCTTTTCTCATTACTATCAGTTCAGTGCGATAAAAAATAAAGATTGAATACGAAAGAGTCAGCGAATGAAAATATATTTCATATTTTAAAACTTAATAATTAATAATTGATAAAAAGTGAGTAAATGATAAGTGTGAAAAATAATACGTAAATAATCTTACCGTATAAGGAATTTTCGTTATTCTCAGCCATGTTTCTAATTTGAGACAAAACATTGATAAACTTGGAATACAACCAGCTCGAGGAAATTGAATCAGATACACGTGATCACGTTGCCAATCACGTTTCAGTAATTGAGGTGTAGGCATTATTTTTAATATTTTGGCTACTTTTTTCTTTATATCAGAAATTACTCAATAACTAAGCAAGGTAATGGAAAAATTAGCTAAAATCCTTCGAATTTATTAATCACCTTTTGTTTCATAGAACGATTACACGAAGAATTACACTGTACAGTTATGGTTTGTTTTTATATTCCCTAATAAGTAATCAAAATTGTTGACGATAATCGTATTTTGACAATAATAGTGATAACGATGATAACATAGATAATAAAGACAAGAATCAGTAATGATAATGGATACTCTTGGTGTTAAGAATATGAACTGTGTGTGCGTGTATGTGTGTGTGCGTGTGTGCGTGTGTGCGTTTGTGCTTGTGTGCGTATGTGTGTTTGTGTGTGCGTGTGTGTATGTGAATGAATGAATGATAGCGTGTATGAATGATGGCGATCACGTTCAGTGGGCGGTTGCAGTGTAAACTGCATTTCAACCATCCATTATACGCTGCTTTCTTTCCCTCACAAGCGCATTCTAGAATTCTTCAAAACAGCAGTAATGTGCATTATTTATTTGTGTATATATCATCTGTACGTATGTGTGCGTGAATGTGCATATATATATATGTGAGTGTGTGCGTGCATGCGAGTGCATCTATGTGTGATTAACAGTGAATAATGCCATACAACCAACCTCAACGCAATTATATATTGCATGATTTTTTTCTTCCAATCAATCAATCAATCAATCAATCAGTCAATAATATTCTAAGATGAAATAATTTTTGATCACAAAATCTTTTCCCGACTTACTGTACGCACAGTTAAGCATTAAATTTGATCTTTTGCAGTCTTTCAATCGAATTACATTGAGAAAGTAAATTCGGTCTTAATTAGATTCAGATTATTTAGTGCGTTCATTTTTTTTCTAATTTTTAAAATAGAAGTGCTGTGCATTTTTTTAATTTTTTGTATTATTATGCACTAAAAATTGAGTAAAATTTACAAAAACCGCAAAAAAGTAAGTAAAAATATTTTTTTAATTCAAAAAAAAAGAAAAAAATCAATGAACATCGAGAAAAAAATTCTGTACTAAGCAGAAAAAAAGAAAAAATTTGATGAAAAAACAAAATAAACTTTGATTAATTTACTCGAAATTTTAATTTTGAAATGCGAAATAATGTAAAATTTTATTAGAAAAAGTTACTTTTTTAGCTTACTGACAAAACTTTGTAATCTTTGAGTAACAAAATAACACAAATAATAATAATCAGAAATGAATGATAAAAAAGACAACAATTTTAGCGTACTTTTTAACTTTTGGAAGATGACGAATAGCAGTTAAAAGAGTAAGCAGTTGTTTAGCAAGAAATGATCAAAGTTCAGTCGTGACATTTGACCTCAACAGAAGTTTGATTTTTTTTTTTGACAAAATATGATTTATAACTAACCCTGCACAATCAATACGAGTAACTTGATTAAATTTATAAGGCAAGTAACGCTTCTTCAGTAATACTTGAAAAACATCCAACAGTGATGACGAATTCACCAACTCTACAACACTGTTATATGAGGTCTTTTTTGCGAAAAAAAGTGAAAATTTTCAAAAATTACATTTTCAACTTTATTAAGCAAATTTTTCCCGCAAATCTGAATTTTTTCAGTTATTTTTACGAGACATTTAAGGGAAAAAAGAATATTTTATCAAAGACGCACTTAAATATCCTCAAACGTGCATTATTCATATGAGTGAAACGTATAGAAATGCTATTTAGTAATGAGAATAGTTTGTTCATTTATGAATTACTTTCCTTAATGAAAACAAAATTATGCATAAAATTTATTTTGTAATTAAGCAATTATACAATTGCAAAAGATCAATTTTTACATCGAAAATTAAATTTTATCATGTCATTATAGAAGTAAGTTAAATAAGTATACAGTACAGCTATACCTATTTAAAATATAATTCATGCTAAAAATTTTTAAATTGTCAACATGTCAAATTATTTGAACTATGAACTTTTCTGCCCTATGTATAATTTTATTTTATGTAAATGAGTTAATTTTAAATTGATGAGAACAATTTAATAAAAATTTGCTTGAAATAGTTTGTACGATATTTTTGGGTATCTTTTGTACGATTTACTTTTTTAAATTCATTTTTGTCAAACATGCGCTAACATTTTCGCTCCTGTCTTGCTTACTTTAGTATCACTTCGCAAGTTCATTACTGCTTTTCAGTCATCTTCTGAATTGCTATTTACTTCTTCATGTAGTACTAAATTAAATTAAACTCAAAGTACTGAGCAGATTGTATTGTTATTGTCTTATCGTACATTCAGAATTTAGAATTTATTCTAATGAATTATGCCAAACTATTAGCATAAGCAATTCAGATTTGCTTTTTGATCTTCACTCCTTATGCGTTTCACTTTCATTCTTTTCAAGCTTTTGCACAAGTAAAGTATGACTGATTTAAGAATTATAAAAACGAAAAGTATTATTTATTTTAATTCGTTTTAATTAGAAAAATAGTTTAATTAATGAAAAGAATGGAATAAATAATTTATTATTATTATACTTTTAAGTTTTTTTTGCGAATTTTTTTTGCTGAACTTTGACATTTAACTTTACTGCTGTTTAATTTTCTTTTCTTGTTGGGCAAGACTTATGCAACGAAAAAGTTTTGCTAAAAAAAGGCAATTTTCCGGGAAAAATAAAAAACTCCCGCAAAGGATGAAGACAAAAGGGGGAAAATTCGCGCAAAAAATGCAAACAAATGGATAAGTTTGTGGATGCATGCATGCGAATGTATCCTTCAATGTGTTTGTCTACATGTATTGATTTGAAGTAAATAGATAGAGACTTAATAGGAAATATCTCAGTTGCTAGAAATTAGTGTGCAAGGCTAGACTAACAAACTTAGCCATAGAGCTAAGTTAAGTTAGGCTCTGATCGATAAGAGTTAGCTAGAAAATTGTATTAGCTCTTTGGATGCCTTTCCTTGAGCTTCAAGGACATGGACTTTTTAGCTTGAACTTCTCCCGCCAGGTTTTGCTGTTACATTTTCGAGAGTAATTATAGATTACTCTAGCAGTTTGGCAAACGCTGAGCCAGGCTGGCCAATCACGTACGCTTGCTAAGCTGCCATGGAGATATCGATGAAATTGCAGTTTTAGCCCGCCTTCTGGCTATCTTGGACTACTGCTTGTCATTTTAAGCAATCCTCGTCGTCGTTGTCGTCGTCGTCGTTGTTGTCTTCGTTGTCAGTGTGTGCCTATTCCTCGTCCCCCTCTTTTTACTTACTATTTTTTCTGTATTTTTCGTGATATTGTAATACTTTGAAAACAAGCAAAACAACAAATCATTAAGGTATTTACTTTAAATATTCATCTATTGTATTCTGATATTAATTCTTCCCGCGCAATCAATACTTACTACTAATTTATTAAAATTCTTGTTTTCTTTCGAAGCCGATAGTATTCCATTTTGCTGATTGGTGGAAGCGCTTATTGTAACTGTACAGCGTCTTCAGTGCTGTGCTCTTTTTGTTTTGTTTTTATTATTGCTATTGTATACAAAGCTAATTATAAGCTGTTTTATTATTTTGCCATTATTTGAAATGATTTTACTGCAACAAAATAATAATTCATACATAAACATTGTGGTATTAAATGTTTTGTGAATGTTATTTGTCATCAAAGTAGTGAAAAATATTTGAATTATTATCGTTAGACTTCTGAAGTGCTTAAATATTATTGTAAAAAACAAAAACAAAAAAACAAAGCATCAATTAGTGAACAAACTATCAATCTAATAATCTTCTATTCGCTTCTGAAAAATTATTTGTCTATTATAAAAAAATAATAATTTATTGTATGGCAAATTATTTTGCTAAAAATTTATTCGGTCTTTTGGCTTAACAAATTTGCTTCTTTATTATAACAATAATGTCAACTATCTAAATGGTACATCATCATCATCAACAACAACAAAATAGCAAGCAAAAATCAGTGGTGAAAATAATGAACGGTAATAATGGAATGAGTCGTTCATCGTCTACTGATAGTAGTGGTTTCCCAGTGAAGGATGCTGATGCTATCAAACTCTTCGTAGGACAGGTAGATTCGCTTGAAACCCAATTAAGGTTTTTAGCAAACATCGATTTTCCAATAATTCAATAAGGAAATGGCTATTTGTAAGAGGTTTAGATTTAGTCAATGTTGCATGCATGATTTGCTGCTGCAGAAGGTTAAGAAGTGTCCATCTGTCTTCAACCTTATTCACATGCAAACATTTATCCGTGCCAGCTCGCGCTCGTTTTTAATTGATCAAGCTATTTAAATCATTTCTTACCATCATTTTAGTCAAAAGCATAACTTATTTTCAAATTTTTTTTTTCTTTTCACTTTTTCCAAAGGATCCTTTATTGACTATCAACAATTTAATATTTTACTACTATTTTATTTATCTTCTGTTAATAAACGTAATATTAGCTGAGGAAATAGCTTGTACCGTAATGAATAAAAGGTATAATAGCTGATGTGAAATAAACAAAAGTTTGCATACGAAGTTATGAGGATTACTGTAATGAATGAATGAGAGGAAAAGAGTTGAGGGAGAAAAGAGTGAATGCCACAACATCAACCAATCAGCTTTGAAATGGCCTCATGTACTTTTTCGTTCTCAATTTTTTGGCATGTAAAATCAGAAAAATATTTGATTCTGATGAATAAATTTGCGTAATAAAAAATCATTTTAATTAAAATTACTGTTTTTTATAATATTTAAAGTAAAATATTAAAAAATAAAGATTATTAAAATTATAAGTCTTGTCTGAAATTAGTTTTTAAAAAAATTACTTGTATGTGTCTAAAGCTATTTACCATATTTAATTCCTCATTATCTGTGCAAAAAACTGAAAAATTTCGCTTATGTATGTGTTTTTATTTTAAACTGAAATTGAAAGTGAATGGTACGAAATTATCTGCCAGAATTAGGATAGAAAAACTGTAATAATTTTTTTACCGTTTTTAAATCTTTTGAAAATCAATTGATAAAAGTTTGATAAACATAAAAAGGCAAGAAAATTATTAAAAATTAATAATGCCTCCAATTTCTTGTATATTTATAATAAGCTCTTAAGGCACAAAAAAACCTGAAATAGGCACATTAAAAGCATTTAAATGATTAGTTTTGAATAGCAGTACTGAAAAATTGGTCATTGTTAAGCAATTTAAGAACAAGACTGCTTCTGATTTTGATTATGTTTCGCTTTTACAAGAAATTTTTCAGAAACTTTTCGAAAACTATGAAAAACTTTTTTTCATTTCCACAAAAAATTTTAAATTTTATTTTCTCAGAGGTCTCATTTTTGAATTTTTGACCGTTTAAAATTTAATTCTATTCATATGTAAATAAAAAGCGGCAGTATAATATTTCATTCAAACTTCAATCTTCTGGTTGAATGATCAAACTTTCAGCAAGTTTGAATTCAATTCGAAGTTAAATCTCAATCCTTAAATTGAAGTTTTATCTCTCAGCACACCGTAATTAAGCACATACAAAAATTACAGTTCTTCTTATCTTTGTTAGCATTTTTTTGATCTACAAAATGAAAAACTTTATTATTCTTTGTACATGTTAAAACTTTCATTCCGAAATCTTTTTCAAACTCACAAATTTTGCCTCGTGAATGAGTCTACCTAATACAGTTTACATTACGTCTAAAATGAAGAAATAATAAGCTAAATCTCTGAAATTTGTCTTTTTGCCACAAAGAATCACAGACAAATGTTTGATGTTTCAGCTGAAAGCATTTCAGAATGCTTACATGTAACAGTAACGAAAATTATTATAAGTTGATTGATATGAATTATAGTTTTATTTTACAAATACTTTTATCCTTTTGATAAGCAAAAAAAGTTACTGCAATAAATAATGCAAAATTTCAGATTCCACGTAATTTGGAAGAAAAAGACTTACGACATTTGTTTGAAACATTTGGTAAAATATATGAATTTACCATTTTGAAAGATAAATACACAGGTCTGCACAAAGGCTGCGCATTTCTGACTTATTGCCATCGAGATAGTGCTATCAGATGTCAGGCTGCTTTGCACGATCAGAAGACGCTTCCAGGAGTTCGTATATTTTATTTGCATTAATAAATTTTAGCTTTAAGCAACGATTTGATTCAAAAAGTCTCTAATAAAGAATTCATATACATCATTTATATCAAAAAGTCTCTAATACATCATTTACATTAAAAGCTAACTTTTAATAAAGTAAGTCAATATCTTAATTAAATTAAAGTTTTAAATGAAAGCAAATACTTTTTCAAACTTACTGTATCTAATTTTTTTTCTAAAAAATCAGCAAGTATCTAATTTTTTTTCTAAAAATCAAAAATGTATATTTTTGACTGTTAATTCTCATAAGCATTACCAATAGTGGCCTTAAATACTTTCAAATTTTTTT